TGTAGAGTTCATGTGCTTTAGTTTGAATATTTCACACATAGTTTTTATCAGATCACTGTTGAGATTGGCAGCATTGTTGGTAATGGTTGACTCAGGTACTCTTAATCGGCAAATAGTACGATCTCGGACGAAGTCTGCTATGACTTTTTTAGTCACGGCTTTATAGGAACCGTCTTCAACCCATTTTTTGAAGTAATCTATGGCCACCAAGATGAATCTGTGTCCATTGGAAGCAGCGAGTTCAATATATACATATTTGATGCAGTATGTCTCCATAGTCATCCAAAAATACCCTGCCCTTAATATCTTATTAGCTAGAACGAACCCATTCATGTGAGGTCCGCAAGTTTTGGCATGTATCTTTTCGAGCAATCTAGACACCTCCTTGGCATCGACGCATCGTAGAAGTCCCAAGTCAGGAGTTCTTCTATACCATCAGAGTGAAAGGGTAGCTATCTCGACCTCGAACGGTGCCTTGGTTTGCACCACAATCGGCGAGAGGGTGACAGGAGATGTTTTGGGAGCGTCCTCCTCTCAGATAAGCCCGATGGATCCTTCCTAGTCCCATTTTTCATCAATTTCTATCACATTCACTCCCTTGCCCCTGTGGTCAAGATAAGGGTTATTACGGACATTCGGCGCGGACTCCTTTGCCTGTGTAGCGCTGGTGTCAATCAGTGTCTGGATATTATCTTACAACATGCGATACTTTTCAATAGCATGTCCCTTCATACCTAAATGATAGGCACACGTCTTGTTGGGGTAGACCCATTGAGAAGGATTTTCAATAGCCGCTGCAGGGATGGGGGTGACAAAACCAACGACCTTCAGGGTGTGTTTTGTATGAAGGAAAATATTTTCCTAGAAAATATTTTCATGGAAAATGAGTGGTTTTATCACTTATTTTCCCTTGTTTGTTTGTGAGTGAAAAACTTTTTCTGGAAAAGATTTTCTAGTGCTTCGTTAGAGAGTTGAAAATATTTGTTTAGGAAAATATTTTTTTATGCTACTCTCCTCACCCCTTTCCCCAAGTCCCCATGTTTCCCTTGCCCACCCCCCCCCACCAAATACCCAACGTTTTCAGGACTCTATTTTCTTTAACAATTTAATTATTCTTCTAAAAATTCATACAAATACTCCATAACTATAAAGAAAATACTCTTTTTTGGTTGAAAAAGAAAGTACTATTTCTACAACATGAAAATAAAGTTCTTTTTTGTTGACATGAAAATAATATTTTCTTATATCATGAAAAGAAAATACTCATTTGTTGAAATGAAAAAAACAATCTATATATAACATGAAAAGAAAGTACTATTAATAACATTCTTATTTAGGGTGGGGGTTGGGAGCAGGGGTTGGGAGGGTAAGGTGGATAAGGGGTTGGGTGGGTTGGTGGGGATGGGGAATTGAGTGGGGAAGATTGAAAAAGAGTTTTGGAAAATATTTTCCCTTCTTTTGGTAGGGAAAATATTTTCCTCCGGTTGGAGAAAAATATTTTCCAAAACATTTAAGCCAACCAAACATGGGAAAATTGAAAAATATTTTCCTTCGTACCAAACACACCCTCAGCCTCTCACATAGTTGGGCTATGGGTTCGGTGATCGGGGTGTATTGTCTGGGAGTTATGCAGTCAAAGTTTGGTTGTGGTATCGAGTAGTTTTGACGCGCGGGAGGAGATGAATGGTAATATGCAGGCTGGGTATTATAGGTATGGTAGGTGGTGGCGGGGTAATGGTAGTTTGGAGGTTAAGGTTGATATGTTGGTGGAGGTGTCTGATAGGTAAGGGGAGACTTAGGGCCATGGGCTACCATCACAGCACCCGCTTCCTTCTTCTTTGAAATACCTCCGGACTGTAAGGCTTAATTGGTGGCTTGCAATGCCTCAAAATTAGTCACCGTACCGCTCTTGATTCACTCTTCTATTCTTTCTCCTAGCTTGATGATGTCGGAGAACGTGTGATTCTCTATAACCATCAATCTTTCATAATACTGATCCTGAGCTCTGACAAAGAACTTGTTCATTTGTTCCTCTTCTAGTGGCGGCCTCACCTTGGCGGCCTCTGATCTCCAGCGAGTAGCATACTCACGGAAGATTTTTATTGGCTTCTTCTTGAGGTTCTAGATATAGAAAACGTCTGGCGCATTTTCTGTGTTGAACCTAAATCTATCCATAAAATCGCATGCCATGCTTACCCAGTTCATCCACTTCTTTGGATTCTTACTAATGTACCAGGATAAAGTATCCCCGGTGAGACTTCGCATGAACAGCTTCATGCGGATCTGTTCATTCTTGCCCACTCCTACAAGCTTATCGCAATAGGTTCTTAAATGCACCTTAGGATCAGCAGAGCCATCGAACATCTAAAACTTAGGAGGTTTGTACCCCTCCGGCAGTTCCACGTCTGGCTGGATACACAGGTCTTCATAATTTAGGCCCTTAATACCTTTTCCACCCTAAACACTCTGGACTCTTCTTGTCAACTTCTTTAGCTCTTCCATCATATTCTGGATGAGCAGGTCCTTCTCGGTTAGTTCTGGTATGTATAGACTTTGCTGCGGGGTATGTGGTAAGGTCTCCACGTATATCGGGTTGCCTTGGTGCGTTCCTGGGACTTGACTCTGAGGGATATGATAGGTGGTTGTTTGCGGGTATGGGGTCGTGTGATGGTGGTATTGGTGAGGGGTTTGTACTGGCGGAGGGTTATGGTTTTGAGGGGGTGCGGGATTGTGATATTAATGCGTTGCGGGAGGGTTTTGTGGAGCTAAGGGTTGTGGATTTTGGGTTCGTGTGCTTTGTAGTGGTGTTTGATTCTTGGTGGTGGTGTTATGATGGTTGATGTCGGGGACATTCAGAGTAAGAGAGAGGTTTGCGAGATTTCAAACCTGATGAAGCTCACCTTGTAGCTCCAAGATTTTTTGCTCCAATAGCAGGACCAACTCATTTTGTCGTGGCGTACTCCTTCCGTCTGAAGTTTCGTCATTCTTTTCTATGGTAGCGTTGTCCTTTGTACTCGGATATCTCGGCTTTCTCTTTCGAACTCTTCACTTTCATCTTAACACTTGCAGTTGGTTTCTCCTTTTTCGCCCCCGTTTCTACATTCATCTCAAAAGTCACAATCTCCTCACACACTCTAAGCATGAGTTTTCTCTCGTGTATATCTAATATCGCTCTACTCGTTGCTAAGAATGGTCTTCCTAGGATGAGGGGGACCTCCTTGTTCTCCTCCATCTTTACCACTATAAAATCTACAGGAAATACGAACTTATCTACCCGAATAAGACATCTTCCATTATCCCCGCGGGTATTAGAATTGTTTGATCTGCCAGCTGCAAATATATTAGTGCAGACCTTATTTCTCTAATCTCATTCTCTAGTTTCCTATAAATAGATAGAAGCATTAGATTAATTGAGGCACCAGAATCACATAAAGACTTATCAAATTTAATAGTGCCTAAAGAGCAAGGTATATTACAACTCCTTGGATCTCCACACTTTTGTGGGAGTTTATTTTGCAATATCGTGCTGCAATGCTCTGTGAGCTTGACCAGCTTGAAAGATATACACACTGGCTTGCTCGCTGACCTATGACGCTGGACTATGTCACAGTGGGTGTTTGAAAATTTATACCTCAAAGTTCAAACTTCAGGACATTGTATCCTAAAGTTCGAAAATTGTGTCCACAAGTTCGAATCTTATGTCCTGAATTTTAAATTAGTATACTTAGTTCAGAAATTCACGACACTTAGTCTTGAATTTCAAGTTAGCAGCTCAAAAATTCAGGATACTTAGTCTTGAAGTTTGGGTGAATTGGCTAATCTTTAAATATATTGTAAATTGTGAATATATTTTAAATAGCGAGCTTAAAAGTAATTATTGCTGCACTCCCCCACCCGAATCCTTTCCTGCGGAGTCTACCGTTTCTAACAACAATTCATAAAAGAAAAAAGAGAACAAAAGCAAAAGAGATTCAAAAATAGCCAAATTTACAAGTGGTAATTGAAAAATAGCCACAATTTCAAAAGTAATCGAAATTTAGCCACTTTTCATGTAAAGATAAATCTGAACAAAAATACTATTCAAAATCTGGAAAATATTCCAGCATAATATACTGGAGTTCCAGTATAATATACTCGACTCCGAGCATAATATACTAGACTTCCAGCATAATATATTGGAAGTTCATACGCAGGTGCTCCAATCTCGAGTATATTATGCTGGAAATTTTCGTGTTGCAGCAAAATAATGGTTATTTTTCAATTACCAGTCCGAAAACTGGCTCCCCCCCCCCCCAAACATGCCAGCCGATAAAGGCCCAACTTAAAGTTTTTTGGTAAAGATTGAACTGAACACTTGGTCCTTAAACCCTAGTAGTTTGCAAATTCTCCACATTTTGATAAACCCTATTGTATGGGTCGGAATCCGACCCCAAGATAATTAACCAAGCTAATCCCGTCTTAAGCTAATTCATGATTAATTAGTGGCACGACCACTCAGAATTAACGATATTCAACCAGCATCTGATTCGATCAGCAAGGCCATGGCCCATCCGCCACCATGAAGGCGAAATCCCAACGTGGTCACGGCCACTTATTGCCAGCTCACGAAGCTCACAGCTATAAATACCAAGAGAGGAAACCCTAGAAAGGGGGGCTTCTTCTTCTTTACTATTCAAGAGAGAGAGAAAGATAGAACGATATACATATTATGAGAGAGGAGAACACCATTGTAAGGCTCTGAACCTCTTCAAGGAGAGGCAGACCAAACCAATATTATCAATAAAGGCTTCTAATGTTTCTCCCCCTAACCCTGAGTACTTATTTTCGTTTCCTTCATTTGGTCCAACGGATTATTACGGTTTGCTATGATTTTCCCTTGATTTATTTATATTGTTTTATACTCATAAGGTATGTGATAACTTTTGAGTCAAACACCTATACCCTGCTTTTACTTCAAGAGAGACCTGTGTAGTGCACATTGCGTTCTGGGCAGGAGAGAGATGGGTAGTGATAGGGAAGTAGAGAAACCGGCACAGAAAGAGAAGGAGATAAAGAAGCTATTGGCTATAGCACCTATTGCTAAACCACTCGCTGGAACGAAACTCAGCAAACGCACCTTCAAACTCGTTAGGCGAGGTATACATAAACTTCTGCGGACTAGATATCTACCTCTTTTCATTTCCTGTTGTATGTATATCAGTACATTTGTTTAATTACCATTGGTCTGCTTTCAGCTACGGAACATAAGTGCTTGAAAAGAGGAGTTAAAGAAGTAGTGAAGAGTATTCGATGCAGAGGCGGACCCAGAATTTTTACACGACGGGGGCATATTATTCTGCTCAACCAGTGCCCCCTAAAGGTTTTAATGTTCAGGGTGTCAACTGCTTTAAATTAACCATTTTCAAAGTATATATACAGAACTTCATCCGAAATTTACGGGGTCCCGTGACCCCTCACCCATACACATGGGTCCGCCTCTGATTCGACGTGGTCACAAAGGGTAAGTCCATTGCTGTCTGCTCATCGCTTTCTTTCAATATCTATCAGGTTTAAAATATTTGTATTTGTGATTTGCCATATCATATACTACAAGCTTGTGAAAATCATTGCCTTTTGGAAATTGCAGATTGTGTGTTATAGCTGGAAACATTTCTCCAGTAGATGTCATTACCCACGTTCCAATCCTTTGTGAGGAATCTGACATACCATACATCTATGTTCCCTCAAAAGAAGTAAGCTGAATCTTCCCAAGCTTTGTAGGTGTTATCTTGCCACTTGCTATTGGCCAGTTACTTTTGCATTAAAACCATCACTTAGGGGTCGTTTGCTCGAGAAACAAGTTATCCTGAATTAATTATACCGGAATTGTTTTCCCACTCTTTCGTAGGGATAAAAATAACACTACAATCCCTGAGATAATTTTATCCCAACCAAACTTGAGATAAACTCAGATATTAATTATCCCTTATCCCTAGTACAAATGAGTCCTAAGAGTATTAATTTTCTGTTTGGTTACTTTCTGAGAGTAGGGAGGGGGTTTATTAAAAATGGCAATATAATGTGAGAGTGTTTGAAGGTCATGACTGTAAAAGCATTGTGTTTTCAGGATCTTGCAAATGCTGGAGCTACCAAGAGGCCAACTTGCTGCGTTTTGGTATTGACAAAGCCTACTAAGGGGGAACTTAACCAGGAAGATCAAGAGAAACTGAAAGAAGATTATGATCAAGTTGTATCAGAAATTCGTGAAACAACTTCATCGTTGTTTTGACGAACAGAATTATGATATCGGCTGTTTTACTTGAATTGCCCTGTACTTAGTTCTGCTAAATAGCAAGTAATTATCGAATATTAATCTCCAACTGCATCTGCGTGCGCCATTTCTTCTCTCCTTTCTAAATCTGATGCTGCAATTTATGTGCGCCTACCATCTGATCATCTATCTACACTCATGTCTGATCTGTGGCATGCTCATTAGAGATAATATTCAATCAGCGTAACTAGATAATCATGCAGCTATCTGTTGCATTTTGAATAAAGTAGCCGAAAGCTGACAAGTACAAGGCATAAGGAATGAAAGATCATTCAGTATTGCCCTTGAACGAAATACGAAAGGAGAATGTAATTAAAGTTACAAACTGGCCTTGCATACACGTTGGAAAAGAAACGAAACCAGTATCGTACTAGTTTCCTCAAATATACAGTTTATTTTGTTGTACAAAGTCATTTTCATCTCCATTCTCCAGCAACTGGAATTTCATATTAAATTATACCAATATTATTAATAATATATTCGTGAGTCAGCCCAGCTTAAAAACCAAACAGGAACTTTTAAGAAAAGCAACATGACTTCATTTCACTTTTTATCTTTTTCGAAAATTAACCTGACTAATGATTTCGAGAAAAAGTTTATCTTTTTCACAATATATATATATATATATATATAAATATAAATATATATATAAACAAAATGTGAATTTCCTATCAAAAGGACCTAAAAACTATTTATTATTATTGCTACTCAATTATTGATATCCTCTTTTTTTCTTTAAATCCTGAAGTCAGTCTGTTGGATCAACATTTTTCTCCTTTAAAATGCAGATAAAAATGCATGAGCTATCTCGGGTACAAGGACCAGATAGACATTTGGACAAGCATCCTAAACAAGGATTACAGCACCAATACCAGCCCTACTATATAATTACACTAATAATCCAAGAAGAAATACTCTCTCCATCTGCAAGAGACAATTATTGCATCCTCTTCATGTATTTGTGGTTCTTCAAAGATAACAAGGCTAAAATTATATACATTTATGCTATTATGTACATCTTCGAGTTAAACTGTTTCAGTAGCATTAGCTGAATATGTTATTTTTGAGATGACAAGGTCCTGAACAAGAAGATACCTACACCGCCAATAGCAAGAGTAAGAAGCAGAGGAACAGCAATTGATTCAATAACTTCAGCCATTCCTTCGGTCCTATCCGTTCTTCCTTGGCGAGATCTTTCTCCATTGAGTTCACGGAGGATGTTACTCAGATTGTCTATCTGGTGCATGATCTGACGTTGTGATCTCCCAATGAGAAGTACCTGCTCGCAAGATGGTTTGCATCAGAAGCATAATTGTCTAAATCAACTAACCCCTCAGTCCCAAGTTGTCCATTTTCTCGATCTTCTTGAGACAATTCCGTTAAACTTGGACTATGGTTCTTGTTAGAGAATCTTTTAGTACTTGGAAACATAGGTCATTAACTTCCAGTGCTATCTCTAGTAAGTATTATTTTCAAATGATGAATTATTCCACGATCGAGTTTACTCTAAAAGTTGGTCTAATAGATCAAAAGGCAAGATTTGGACAACAATTGGCTTAGAAAGTATATCAAAGTACCACAATGCCTCCTTTTGTCTCTGCTTAGTGTCAAAGATGAGCAGAAGATAATCTTAAAATACCTCTTCCATGAGAGAAGATTCCCTTGCCAATTGGGAAGCAGACGATGAATGAGGTAAAAGAGAACCAGTCAATGAGCCATTGCCTAACCCAGCCACAAAAAGAGAAGTAGGTGCAGATCCATTGCAAGCCTCAGCATGCACTGCCAAATTTTGTTGGCTGGCAGAAACTTTATTGACAGATATTTTTGAGTTTAGCTCTTCCATCCGAGATGTAAACTCATCCATTCGCTCACTCAGCGTGGAAATTTGTTCTGAAAGTTGAGAAACAACTCCCTGAAAAAAGCAATTCTTGAGTGATCGAGAGAGAACAGGAAAATGCAAGATTGAGATATTAAAAACAGCTAATCATAAGTGGGAGGTACTGGTAGCAATTAACTACTCCTCTGGTGTATAAGAAATGATGAAATTAAGCAGGAAGATGGAAAAGGGAAAACAGCATATGTAATATACTATTTCCTGTGCACAGTAACTTTATATTCCAGTTCTCTTTGCTGGTAAGACTCCACCAAGTTCTCCATACAGAAGTCATGAACTATCTTTTTGCAAAACGAATGGATCCTTGTATGACTAATAAAAAGATTAATAGGACTCGAATAAAAGTCCCTTTTCAAGATTAAAACAAACCAAATATGCTTTTTATACATCTATATGAATAATTGTAAATCATAAAAATAGACTCTCTTGCTGTTCTACATGACTATAAAAGGGATCCATCAGTTTTTTGCAGGCGTCTCCAGCCACCAGTACTCAGGGTTTGCCAGGAGATCATCATTTGGCTTTCTTTTCTAAAGCTATAAAGTCAATTTTGCTCTGGCAATTCTCAAAACCACAAAACCCAACTGTGTGCCTCTTTAACTCCTAATGGAGGACTCACTTCCTTCTGCTGATATGAAATCTTTCCAAAGGTTATGTTGGTTCGAGTTATGCCATAAGGAATATTTGAATTATTAAAACAAATTGACAGCCTATTACTTTGGTCAATGGTTGGGCTATGAGACATGGAGGTAGTCCCTAAGAGGAAAGAGTAGGAAAGGGTGAATGTATTCTTGAGTGTCGATAAAAACAATTACGAATCAATCATTGGTGTTCAGAAAATGATCTAAGTGAGTAGATGAAACACTCTCCTTTTCTTGGAGTAAAATATTATATTAGGGATAAGATTTTGCAATTTATGTCAAACAAATGCCCCAAAATAGGGAAAATATTTTCTAAAAGAAATTTCACAGAACACCAAGAGAAAAAACTGGAGATCAGTTCACGCACCAAAAATGCCTTCAATCTGTAGCAAAAATAGTGGAGACATTAAATTCTCACAAAAACCTGAACTTATTTCTCAGAATAGTTACCTGGTTAGCCATTGGTGCTGGAGAATCTGGAATTCTTCCATCATATCTTCTACTATTAACCGCAAGTTTTGTCAACTTGGACAGGTGTTTTTCTCGTTGTATTGAGTATGTATGTGGGATACCACTGCCAATAGTTGCAGGCGAACAGATGAAGATTTTTTCAGTCCATGACTTTTGCAGAAATAAGTAGGTGGTGGTTGTATCCAGACAGGGTAAAAACATCTAAATAATGGTGCAAGACGTATAGACTACTTTAAGCAGTAGTTAAGATAATAATTTAGCCTATGACCTACCGATTAAGAAACTTCGTTCTCCTATCTGCCGAGGCTCGGGATAAAGCTTCTCTAGGGCTTGAGACCAAATCATCGTCTATGCTCAGCTTTGTCTTCAGATCGTCTGGCAATGCCTGCACAGTCTGTAATGCTCAGAACCAGGAACATTGGAAAAGTTTGTATTTAGTTAAAATTGCTCTTACCATAACATCATTTAAAAGCTTCTCCAGCTGAATTTGTTCAATGTAAGTGCGAGGAATATATGAACCATCCAAACCCAGAGAGTCAGCAATAAATTTTACATATAATCGATCTCTTCCTTGCACCTTCATAAGGAAAAAATGGAAATTGTTAGAATAGTCATGTAAATAGGAGTAAATAAATAACCCTAATCCAATATATATTAGGAGTAGGACATGTTATGTGTGTATATATATAGGGCTCATTGTAACATATGAATATACATCAATAATATATTTTCTCCCGTGCTTTCTCACATGGTATCAGAGCTACGGTGTGAAATTTATCGTTGTGCATCATTCCAGCGATATCCGGGAAGAAAGAACTCAGTCACCGTGCAATTTTCCGGTGACCTAAGTGACTTATTGCGTCAAAGTCACTAATTAACAGTGTTGTGCAAAATCCAACACCACCACAAGGTTCCCAAGAGAGATCCGACCAAACCCCAGAAAAAATCACCGGAAAATAGCCAGCCACGCGCCGTCACGCGCCTGTCGGAACTCTGCCGCCGGCGGCGCGTCTGTCCCACGCGCCGGCGCGTGAGGCCTCTTCCGGCCATTTTTCGGCTTCGCTTCTTCAGGACAGTTGGATCGCCCTGCAATTCCGAGCCTGTCCATATTTTTATTTTTTAATTCCGACCACTTTGAGTTTTTCCGGCGACTACACTGATTTTTCCGGCAGCTACAGTACTTTTCCGGTTAACACAGTGTTTTCTTCATCTGTCTCAGAGAATTTTCAGTTGATTCTTTTTTGTTATTTAGTGATAATCCAACCATGTCTTTGGGAGTCGATGCTTTCGGGTCTAGAAACCCGAGTTCTGGCAGTTCCGGTGTTATGATTACCTCAGAACCTTTAATGGGAGGTTCAAACTACTTAGATTGGGCTTCATCTGTCGAGTTGTGGTGTAAAGGTCAAGGAGTTCAAGATCATTTAACAAAAAAGGCTAGCGAAGGTGATGAAAAGGCCAAAACACAGTGGGAGAAGGTCGATGCTCAGTTATGTAGTATCCTGTGGCGATCTATTGATTCCAAGTTGATGCCCTTGTTCCGTCCATTCCAGACATGTTATTTAGTTTGGGAAAAGGCTCGTAATCTATACACTAATGACATATCTCGTTTCTATGATGTAATATCGCGAATGACAAGCTTGAAGAAACAGGAATTAGATATGTCTACTTACTTGGGACAAGTTCAGGCAGTCATGGAAGAATTTGAGACGTTGATGCCAGTTTCTGC